GCCTTGGAGACTTCCAGACCCACATTTACTTTGGTGTCAACAGTCTTTTTGTCCATTATCTCCTCCTTTAGGTGTAGCATATTATCGCACGTCGATAGGTGTGATCTGAAGCCTATCATAGTATGAGGGTACAGGTTTTCATCTTCCATTAACCTAGTCAGCCTTGTTTGGATGACGTGCTCCATCAATTTTCCTACGCAAGATGAGATGGAAATGGGTCTGAGATATTCAAGACTGAGCTTTTTCCCTGACTTAGGAATGAAGAGACATTGGCTGTTTTCCAAGCTTGCGGTATTTCTCCCTTGTCCGAGCATTCTTGCATATAAGCTGCAATTGACGAATGGAGCCGTCGTCAAGATTCCTGAGCATTCTGTTGTTGATTTTGTCCGGACCGGATGCCGTTTATGTTTTACGTCGGTTAATTTCAGCCCTGACTTCGCCAACCGTGATGGGGCTGTCTAGGTCCGGGTTTTCTGAACCAGCGTAGTTAGGGAGCTTTTGAGATTCTGCGCAGCAGAGGTATCGGTCCTAACCTCCTTTAATAATTCCGTCGTCTGACCTTCATATTTATACGCAAGCTTTTGAAGTTGCTGTCGGGCCTCCGACTTGGTTTTCTCTCGGTCTAATAGATGCCGTAGTAGCTGCCAAGTTTTAGCACTGCCAATCTGTCTATCCATCTGATCACAGGTACTACCCACCTTTTGCTTGGTAAGTTTCAATGCATAATCTTCGATCTTTCTATTCAGGGCAGCAACTTCCTTTCGGAGATTCCTGTCTCCTCTTTTCTGACTGATTTTTTGCTCTAAGTTTTTCTTTTTCTTCCTTATGCTTACAAGATGTCTATCAACAACTTCCTCATCGCCAGCGTCAATCTCTTTGGTAGCATGCTGAACCGACTGGATCACCCCTTTACCCCAATCGTTACCCCAATCGTTAGTAAATTTATGGGGACTTGTTCCGACCTGTTATTTCTAAAGGTCACCCAATCTGTAGTTTTAAATTTTCTCTTATTGATCACCAGCGGGCCAATGGCAACTATAATCTCTAAAATTCTATGATCACTACCTAGGTCTTCGCCGGTTTTGCACCACGTGGCAACGGTGGCACTGCTGACCAGATTAAGATCTGGCGTCGTGTCTTGAGATACGCTATTTTCTTTCCTCGTTGGCTGCCTTGGGTCTGTTATAAGTATGAGCTCATGTTGTTGAATTTCGTTCCAACTTCCGCCATTAACCTGGGTGAATTTATAACCCATGCCGTATGATGCGCATTAAAGTCGCCCAAAATTAATAGTAGACCGTTGCTAAAATAACCTTTGTTTTCGTGAAAATATCACCAAAGTTGATTTTGCGTTGCCTGGGGGAACTATACACATTCAGGATAAAAAGACTCTTGTCTTTGCCAAAGACTCTTGTCTTTTTAAAAAGACTCTTGTCATCTGTACTAGTACAGCTGGAGCATACCTTGTAATGACTTGTTTCCATTTCAAGTGCTTCAATTTTCGCTTCGTGATTTTCTTCCATTTCGATTTCTTTAGCCCTCTTCTTCAAAGGCGGTTGGTTTGCTACCTGGGGTGTTTCCAACGCCTTCCTTGGTTTACTGGTTAGATGAGCCTTAATCTCATCAAGCTGCTTGCGTAATTCCGCATTTTGCTCCTGTAATATCCTGTTTTGCTCTTTAAGAGCATTAATCATCTCTGTATTAGCATTCTGGAGACCTTAGTTACCCAACCCCCTGTGGTCCTGGGGATTTGACTTCTCCTTGGCACAATCACCACCATCATGGGATGCCTTGTGAGAAACTCCCGCTCTTCCTGCGGTGGCAATCGGGGAAGGATTCCGAGCGCCCTCTCGATCTACTTCGATGCTTGCATTTGCGCCTCGAACGATCTTGAACCCCGCCTGTCCTGCTGTGCCACTGCGTGCCCTCTCGGCCTTGCATCGTTCTTCTTGCTCCCGCGCTTCTTCAAGCTTCATTTCCCACTGTCGCTTCTTCACTATATAAGGTGTGCGAAAAAGTCTTTGCACCTTTTGTCTCCGGTCACGTACTCCTTGCCACAGACAGCACCTCGGCGTACATTCATGGTCCTTGGGTGGGAGGCCACCCCACAACCTTTGCATTTATCGTGCGGGCTGTCACATACGTCGGATCGATGTCCCAGCTCACCACACTTGTAACACACTTCATATCTCTTCTTGTAGAGAAAACATTGCATCGGCGTCCCAAAGCAGATCATCCATCTCGGCACGTAGTCGTCAACAAAGGTGATGATTACCAAAGTGGAGTTGCCCATCCTTCGCACACCAAGAATAGGACAATTCTCTTCGTGTGAGAAAGCCAGTTCCCATTCTCTCTCAGAGAGTCTGATATCAAGTCCATGTACCACACCTTTGCACAGCTTTCAGGCGCAGCCATGTATGTCTTCACCCCTTACTCCTTGCCGTCGAGCTTTATGACTTTCAGGTCCAACATTTTCCTGGCATCATCCTCCCTGGGCGTGCTGTATATCAATGTTTCTTGTTGTGGTTGACAACGATCCTGTCCTCCTCTCGACCTTTCTGCCATGAAATGCCTGCTGCCATCCTTACTGCTCCACCAATCACAGGTGCCGATTGTCTGGTGAGCGTCAGTCTTTCTTTGGGCCTCATAATAACCTTGTGATCCGCGTTCGGAAGACGCGGTAGATGTGACGCTACTGACCGCTTCGCGAGCTTTTTTCCCGCCGCTTTATATGAGGGTCTCCCGCTTGCACCATGCTTGTCGTCATTGAAGCCGGCCGGCATCGTCCTGCCTTCTTTTCCGCATCCACTGCTGGTAGACGCTGCCCTGGTGGCGCCATCGCGTTCCCGTTGTTGACTCTCCTGAAGCTCCGCCACATGTTTCGACACTTTCGTCACCCAGTCCAAGCTTTTCAACTCTTCTTGATTGGCATCTCTACCATTAACAGTCACTTCCATCGTCATAGTGCCTCCGCAGACGCTCTTCGAGCCGACGCCTGGAGCCTCGAACGCCGATCCGACGACCTCGGCGCTAGGCTGAACGGTGGTGTTGGCAAGACGCACAAGGTAGCCGAACACCAATGACACAAGAAAATTCTTAAAATCTACTCACAGTTCTCAGAATCCTACTCACAGGATCCTGAGCACCATGCCAGCGATCGTGTGGAAGGAGCTTCGCAAGGTGTGACCGTCACCGAAGCCTCAAGTTAATTTGATCGCCGAAATTGTCCGGGAGGATTGAGGTACGGCGATCGTTTAGGGTTCCCTACACACTAAAAGCTAAAGCGGAAGCTATGAGTTACGATCGCTATACTCGGGTACCACTCTCTGTGGCAATGAAGGTAAGGCTGCGCAGCCAAAGTGGGCATGTGCCACCACTGTATAACATTGACCCATGCCACCACTGATGAACGAGCCACTGTGGCTCATACTCGTTTTGGGCTGAGAAGAAGAAGAGAACGTTCCGAGCACTAATAAGACAGATTTATTTTTTTCATTTTCATTCATTTCATTTCATTTTCAGTTTAGTTTCAATTAAGTATTCTGCCGCCCGGTTCTTCGCCCATCCCCCTTTGTGGGTAAGCGCCATCTATCAAAGGTCATCAGCATCAGCATCAGCATCAGATTTATTCTAGGAAAAACTGTTTAAACATACTTACCCGAGCCAATCTTGGTGGCTCGAAGACACGCGCGGGCCTTCCCTGTACCCAACAAAAAAAAAATTTTGCCTACCCGAGCCGGTACCGCCCGATCAAAAATTGGGTCGGACGTAGGCCAAAGCGAACAAAGAGGCAACACAAGCACAGAAGAACCACAATATATCTTAAGTGGCAAATATGTCCGCTTTCACGGCGCATGCTTCCCTCACAATTGAACTTTTAGAAGCAGAAATGGCTTGCAAAGAGCAATTCATGGTAGAAACAGTTGAACTGATATTCTGGATGCAACGAATGTTACCTTGGCAGTGGTGACCTGTACCATTTTTCTGTATATAATATGGTGATGTAATCAAGAAATACACGAACACCTATCTGGTCGGGAATTATCAACTAATGAAAAGACGAGGACACCGAACACCACCTTTTATAATTTAAGCTTTCTTCAAAAAATATCAAACATCAGTAAATCAAACTTCAGATAAAATCAGATATCAGTCCGAAGCTGCGGAACTAAAATTGTGTATGCATGTGAAACAGGTTTAGTTATTTGAGCAATTTTTCATATTGTTTGCTTCGGAAAAATACCAAAATATCAACCCTCTAAATATCATTATATTTGTAGGCCCGTTGCCAAAGAAGAATTTGAAGAAAGAAATAAGAAATTGCGAACGCTTTCCATTCAGCACTTTCACTGAGTTTTAAACAACATTAAAAAACATGGCAGGTATCAAACCTATCCACTGCCCTTAACACGATTTTAAAGTCAAAGGCATCGCCTTTTTCTTCTCATTCGATGTATTGATTTGCTGATCCACCTTCCGAAACCTTTATGGATACAACATTATGTTGAACTGCTTCAAAAATACAAGGCACCTTTCTTAGACCTAGTGGAGCTTTGGCTCATGCTTGATGAATATTCGATTGATATCAGATCTCTCTAACAGATCTAAACTTTGCAAAGTGAAGTGGCCTGTTTTTGTTCTTATAGGGTTAGATATTGAAGGCGCAATGCATGAAACGAGCAGTAATGACCACAATATTTATTTCATGGTGGCTCTCTTTAGAAATATTACTCATCATGACGTGGTTGCTAGTATAAAAGCCCCGGGTAAACTATCGAAGGAACCCACATAACCAAACACTGATGTTCACCATTTCTAAACTTGGCTCTCCCACCGGTGCCCACCCCCTCTTCCTTCACAAAGGTTCTAGTACGCTCACACATATTTATTGAAGGCCAAATATGTGCATTTTGGTTGTTTTATTCTTCACTACTTCGAATGATTGAGAAAAAGTCAAGTAAATGCGACTTACAATTCTCATTTGTATTTCTCCTTCTCAGGACCACTGTATATGGAAGCCCAAGTAAGTACATATTGGTACATCATTCAGAGTAACTTATACAGTTTTATAAACGTGCGCAACATAATCAAGATGTAGATGTCAACAGCACCATCGCAAGAAAACATTAGTTCTTTCAAAAATACTTGTAATCTGGGCAATAACTTCAAAAGACAATGCCACAATTATTACTGCGCCAACTAATTACAATGGGTGGTCCTACCCCAATATTTTCTATCGTGCTTTAGGGAGATGGAAAGCAGGTAGCAGAAGAAATGACGTAGTTGCTTGAGCGATAGAGAGGAACTGTACAAAGGAGTCACAACATGAACAATTTTTGTGTAACAAAACGATCAGACGCTGTACTCAAGGTCTATGTTAAGCACAACCTTTATGGCAGTGTTCACGGATTCTTTTATTCTGCATATTATATGGTTTTCACAGCCAAACATAATAAACAGCCTGTAAAAACGAAACACCTTATTGGTAGCACATGTGACTAGCAGCCGATGTCCCAAGCGTAGACGTACGTCGGCAATCTGTGTTCATGAATGGTATTCATCAACTTTTATCGCCTCATCAAATGTTCCACAGTTACCAATGGTGCTCGCGTTTTGCCTCGAAATATTTAGGCTCCTGGTAGCCAACTTGTCATGCGCACAGACGTAAACTGTTTAACATTACGGCGAGGTGTGGAATAAGTGCTAATGACCACAAGTTCAGGCTGAACCCCGCTCAATATAAATGTAACAGTTTTGTCAGAAGGGTGGAGCATTAAATGTGCTAGCAAAAATTGTATCTTCACACAAAAACACTTACTGTAAAAGAGGCATATTCACTTGATATATCATATAGGCAGATTGCACAGTACCCGTTAATGTTCTTTGGTGAGGACCACACGATGTTTTTAAAGAACAGTCACTACCACGAACAAACTTGAGGAGCGGCACGGGCGCGTGCCACTCCTCTAGCTCGGTTGTGTCGTTGCTTGCATTTTGAAACGGAAGCATTTTGTACCGGGAGCTCTGTCATTTGTCCTGTGGTGCTTCCGATCGCTTGCTCTCTCTCTCGTCTAGGTATCCCCCTGTCGGCGTTTGCACGCTCGTTGCGCATGCACGCCCCCTGCCCATATCTCAAGCCCCCCCCCCCCTTTTCCTCTTTTTCACATCGAACTCTGACGTATGAAGCGTCTGCTAGCATTTTTTTTTTTGCTTGAATAAACGGAATGCTTGCACTTAACACCCATTGACTGTTGGCCAATTATATATAAGCACCTGATCTTAACCTCCAAGAGGTGCCCGTTGGATATTCCTTTTGTGCGTTCGTGAACAATTTAAATTTGCAGCGTGCACGTTGACTAAAACAATGCAACCACCTCACCGTAGGGAACCGTTAAGAAATTCGAATGTATTCCTTGATCCCAGAGAGAGAGAGTACCATTGCCTTCCGACATTCGGCTTCAACTTCCACCATCGCCTTCAGAGGCGCCGAGCCAGTGAACAATCGAGAGTGAAGAACGAGCGGACAAAAAATGGGGCGTCAGTGCTCTCGGCTCGGCGTTGGCGTTTCACAGTGGCGTCTCCAGCGCACATATCCGCATGTTATGAAAATGAGTTCTTCGGAAACCTGCAAGGTGGCGGAATGGTTCGGAAAGGGCTTTGTGCTACGAACGGGTGGTTGTCCTCTTTTCCCTTTGGCATGCTTATGTTTTTGAGAGGTGCCCAGTAAACGAATGGTCAACAGTGACGTGCGTGCGGACGGGCGAGTGGGGCTCAAGGAGGATTAAAAAAACTTGCTGGAGTGGAAATGACTGCCTAGGAGTGAAGCCGTTCCACTGGAAATATGGCGGCTGTGGTGGCCATCTTACTAGGGGCATGATAAATTATCATTGTTCAGCAATTAAAAACGAAGCGTTTCCCTCGCACGCCCAACACGTTTAATGCGGGAACTTTTTTCTGGTCACATAGTGCTCCACGTGCGTGTTACAGTTACTAGTTTTTCTTAGTGAGCCTCTAATTGGAGGCAAAGTTCTTTGAAAACTGAGTCATCTATACTCGTTTCTGTTTGTTATTTTGTCGGGAACAACTATCTTTTAACATAGAACTAACGTTGCATTTACATAACATATCAAAGCCACTTGATCTTCAAGTGGGCGCCATCAGAAAAGAGCATGTATCCGCCATCTTGGCAGTGGCAAAGGATGGCTTCACTTCTGCTGGCAAGGCATTGCTGGAACTGCCACTCCAGCAAATTTTCTTTAATCCTCCTTGGTGTGGCTCTGGGACGAGAGAGAGAGCGAACGGTGAGATATGGAGCAGTGAAGCAGCGCGCCCACCCTCTCCTACAATCTCTCTTCCACACGCTTCGGTTGCTAGGGGTAGGATAGGCGCGCGCGCCCACAGTAGTTGCTATGAGAGAGAGAGATGGGCAGTGGAGATATAACACCTGGCAGCCCGCGGACACCGCCGCGGATAATGCCGAATGCTTGATGCCTAGTTCACACTGAAACATCCGCTTTCTATAGCGACCGAAATTCCCCTGCCGCCAAAACGCGGCGTCGTTCGCACTGGACGCGCCCCGCGCTGCCGAATACGCCATCTACTGCGGGGTGAACGCGGGATGAATGCGCTGTCACCCGATTGTTGTCGCGGCTCACAAACGCTACTACGATATCCGGTGGTGTATACCTCGACGATTCTCGTACGCAAGAAGCAAGAAAAGACAGTGCTGCTTACTTTGCTGGCAAGTGGCTGTCTTGTAATGCACGAAGAGCAGGAAAACCACCGACGCCAGTGGCGTTGGTGGGTTCGTTTTGCTCTGCAACACCGCAACAACCTCGGTCACGCCAACAGCAAGCTCGCGCACCTCTTCCACGAAATACAGACGTGAAGTAGGCACAGAGTAGGTAAAACTCCCGTTGGTTTCAACATTCAGTTACGTGCACAGCGGCATAACAAGTGAGTAGGGCTTGGCCGCCATTTATCGAAATTCCTTCACTAGCGCTCCTATTGGTCCGTGGTAACCGATTCGGCGGCAGACGCCGCAAAAATCGGTCCGAGAGCGATCGGCGCGGAGAGGGCTCTTTCGGCGGATCTCGCCGCTGCCGAACCGGATTCGGAGCACTTTCGGGGGCCGGAATGCTCAGTGTGAACGCGGCCTGAGAAAGCTCGACAAAAAATGCATTTGCAATTAAGATGGACTGCAGCTCTCTGTGCCTAATCGATGTTTTCGGTCTCTCATTGCACATAAGCAGCGATCGAAATGGTCCAGTAAATAATACCGGTCCATGACAGCGTGTTTTGCGCCTCGGCCGACACCTCTCTTGCGCAACGCTTCGATGAGCGCCAGGTTGAACACCGCCGTCTGTGTTATTGTTAGCGCCAGCGCAAGCTCTCAATAAATTATGCCACCTCACGCTCAAGCGATTTACTTCCCTGCTGATTCGCATCCAGACGTGCTTCCCTTTAGCAGCGATTGGTGAACTCTCTTAATGGTGTACGCAGCTCTAGACTGTAATTTCAAGTGATGGGTTGCAGGCTTCCTTGTAGAGTCCGATGCTTTCGTAATTATACTACAAAGCACATGGATTCAACCTGCGGGGTCCTAATACTGCAGTTGCCATTCGCCTGATCATCCGTGTGACACATAGGCACCCTATAGTTTTACGCCAGGTGTGACCGGTGCGACCAGCGTCCATCGGCACGGCCCGTCGGCAACCGGCGCGAAAGGCGACAGGCTGCATTTCGCGCCGATACGTTACCCAAACAACACAGCGTCTCCCTCTTTTCGTGACAGAGGGATGCCGGACGCGATGAAAGGCATATGCGTAAAAGCAACGCAGCGTGGCGCGCGCCGGCGAGCATATGGCAGGACCGGTGCCCGGCGTGGCAACGCCAGCGTGGCGTGACGAAATGAACGCCCGCGGGCACGTGCACCGCGTCACGTTGAAATGTATTGGTGCCTTCACTGTGGCATGTAGTCATGTTCTCATGATTATCCTGTTTGCACCAGTCACATACATTCGTCATCCATTGGCGTCACGCAATACCAAATTTGGCACTTGTGAAGCTAGTGAAACGGCCGCGAGCACATCATGAGTGTGGCATGTAGCCGTGTTGTTACATGTCACGCATGTCGTGATTATCATGTTAGCATGTGTTATTTACCTATGTCGTCCGTTCGCATTGCATAATACCGAGTTTGGTACACGCGAAGCCAACGAAATAACCGCGAGCGCAACATGAGCGTAGCATGTATTTATGTTGTTACGTGACGCATCTGATGTTTATCATGTTTGCACCAGTATAATACCTTCATCATTCGTTCACGTCTCGTAATACCAAATTTGGTATAAGTGAAGCTAGCTAAACGGCCACCAGTGCATCATGAGCGTGGCAGGTAGTCATGTTGTTATATGAGCCGCATCTCATGATTATTTTGTTGCACCAGTCCCTTGCCTTCATCATGCACTCACGTACCGCAATACCAAATTTGGTATATATGACGCTAGCGAGATGGCCGCGAGCGCATTATGAGCGTGGCATGTAGTCATGTTGTTACATGACGCGCATGCTATGATGTTTATGTTAGGATCTGTCGCTTGTGTTCGTCATGAAATGATGTCATACCATACCAGTTTTCCAACATGCCATGTGAACGAAACTACCGCATAAGCTGCAGAACCATTAATTATAATTCATGACATTCATGACGTACTTGTCATGATTTTCATGTTATGGCTAATTATATATGGTATTCATACACTCATGTAACGCCATATCAGGTTTGGTATTGATACCATTAATTAAATGACCCGGGGAGCTAAAACTCGTAGGCGGCGCAATATTCACGTGCATCATTAGTCATCGTGCATCATATTTACGTAGATTTTTAGTCATCGTGAACAAGTTTAACCTTGGTACTTTGTAGTCACGCTAGTCCTTGCATCAGTAAACCTACATCAAAAGATTTGTCATAGTTATTGACAATGCTGATTATAAATTAGTGAAAGATGGAATGTTGTGTACCAGAAAATGAGTACGCTGAACGATTACTTTCTTATATACTGGACGCCACATTTACGACTGATATATCTTCGTCAGAAATACGCTGGCACCAAGAACGACTGAAAAATTTCAGTTTGGTGTATTGGCATTGTGCAAGAAATGAGTTCATTTCTAATACGTCATCTATAAAGTAATTTACCATATGCTGTTTTTCTACTGCAGCTTTACACTTTTTTTCATTTATTTAAAGATAGACTGGTCACATCAATTCTTCAAAAAGCAATTTATATTTCAATTCAGATTGTTCACTTCGCTTTTTTTATAAGCTTGATACCCACAGTTTTCATTCGCGACATGGCAACACTACTCTTCATTTAACCACCATATACACAGCCCCCCCCATAATCTCTTTCATGAGCTTGACAACCGCATCTTTAATTCATGACTTGGGAATACGTGTGCACCACATATACGCCTTGAAATCTAGCTAGGGCCGAATGTCGATGGTCACGTATACGGCACTTCTTTCACGTGAAACATGTCGCAATATAGGTGCGTTTTTAAAAAAAGCCAATTTGTACATGGTATTGTCTTCGCATAAAACATTGAATTGATTCTGAATGTCACTTTTGGTACTTTCTTTACAGAAAACTTTCACTGACCTTCTGGCTGGAAAAAAAGAATCACACGTACCTTCGATATTTCGTTGGTGGTAAGGCTGAATATTTTGAGAATCATTATTTTTAACTTATGAGATAATGCCAGCTGCCTTTTGGGAGCCTTGACAGGAGTGAGCACATTAGCATTTAGCATGTTCTAGGTTTCCAGCAGGCAACATATAGTGCTCTAAGTTCCCATGCAACTTTTCCAGCCATGTCTGTGAACATCACATGACGATATTCAACTAAGGAAAATTGATTGACATGAAAACAAAAGCAGGATTGCCCAAGGGTAAAAACAAAAGCATCCGAAGGTAAACTGACCACGCGAGCATAAAAAACAAGACCAATAGCATATGCTATAATACTTTGAGGTAGGTCGCAGATGAGCAACGGCATGTATGGCACGTAATTTTAAGTCAAGATAGGAGGCGGCAGATAGAAACATGTAGTGGGATAATTTGGGTGAACAGTGAAAATGCCTCAGACAGGCTGGAAGACGTTTTGATAGGAGGACCTGTTTTTGTCAAAGGCGCCTTGTCATCCTTGATGTGTTGGTTTTAAGGAGGTCATCTCCCGGTGGTGGCGCGTATCCCTGTTGTTAATCGCCGTCTGAAAAGAAAAATTGCAGCCACCGCTTTGTAGCACACCACTCTTACTTTGCATGGTTTTCCCCCATTCTCTGGGAACATTTTGAATCATTGTAACCTAACTTGAATTGAAGCGACGACTGCACTCATCTTCTTCAAAGATTTTTTCAGTTCAGATGGCGATTACCAGTAGAGAAACGCGCCATCACTAGGAAATGACGTCACTAATAATCGCCGTAAAACTAACACGCCAATGATGACAAGGCGCCTTTGACAAAACTGGGTCTTTCTATCGAAATGTCGGCCAGCCTGTTTTAGGCACTTTCTCTGTTCCCCTGATTATCCCACTGCGTACAGCAAGTAGTAACTGATGCAAAAAGCGTACCTTGAGCGAAACAATCAACAAAACAAAATGAAAGAAGGTAAACCGTATAACAATGTCCGTCAACGGACACATACCGCGAAAGAAATTGTTACTCACATGCACTGCTAGTTGTACAAAGTAGAAAAAAAATAAAAGGGCGGCGTCGTATATCACAGGGAATCCTTCACCTCTTTTGTGAAGCATGAACTGACGGTTTATCGACTATGTAACATGAAAGTTTTTTCCGCTCTGTGAAAAAAATAACATTGATTTAAGTTCTGTTAGCTCATAGCCTTCAATCATTTTAGTGCATTTCTTTTTTCGTGAAACTTGCGCTCTTGTACTGCATTTAAGCATTGAAGTGTATAATAATGATTTTGTTTACGATAATTTAAAGCATTTCCCGATGGCGCAGTTCCTGCTCGAGACTTCGAAGTATGCTGAAATTGTCATTGTTAGTTATGAACACGTGCATGCCGTAAGTGTTGAAAATGAATTTTTCATTTTTTAACACACTCAGTGCAGCCAATGTCACGCTTGTTGTTTGGGTTTCTAACTACGTCCGCAATTTCTTATAACACTTTAGCTACAAGCTTATTTTTTGAGTGCGAGACATCATACAATTTTTTAGCGACTGAAGTTTCTCAAAGCCTTCCAAAATATTCCTTGCGCGTGGTTACTCAAGTTTAGCGTGAAAGAGTCAAAGAATTCCAAATATTTGTATTGGTATGCCGAAGCTAAACAAAGTATATTGATGTTTTCTGGCTCAGCAGATTTTTCTCACGTGTAACTATCACCTGACAAACTTGAACATGTTTGTGCGAATCTGTCTAGTCGAGCACCTCTAGCTAACCACTCTAATGAATTGTTTACTATTTGTTGATCTTTCTTGCACTGAATGTGCGTGTATGAAGCGCATTTGTCTGCAAATGAAAAAGTAGCCCATTTATAAGTTACTATTCATATAAATAAACAAACGTAATCAGTGATGCGCTGAACCTTGAGGAATGCCTTAAAAACAGATACAAAATCCGAACACTAGTTGCCTACCTAAGCACATTAGTTACGCTGCGTAAGATGCGAGCAAGCCACTTCGCTATATGAGGGTTGTCATAAACACATCGGATCTTCAGCACAAAGTGTCCATCTTTCACAAGAACGCAGGCTTTTCCAAAATCAAGAAAATTATTTTTAACCCTTCTCAAGCATTACTATTAGATATTTAAAATGTCAAGGAGTTGTGTCGTAGGCAAACGCTCTGCCGAAAACCTTGCAGATCACGCTAAAGATAAATGTTCTCCTCTAAGAAAAAAAACTAAGTACCTAACAATAAAATGTTTGAAAAACTTGCTACATGTTCACGGTATGGAAACTGGTTCATTATTTTGGGTAAGCTGTCATTGTTATAATTAGGAGCCCCTCTCTTTTTTCATTTTAAAAGTGCTTTTGTTGTCGCCATAATGTGAGTTAAAATTATGTTCACGTACTTCGCGCACAATCAGCGCATCTCCACCGGGACATATTCGGTACCCCATCCTAAGTGATTGATTTTTTTGTGAATAGTTCAAGTGGTGCCTTGAACAATGACCCTTTTGTCGATTTTTAATCAGGGATAACATCAATTGTTTCAAGATATGAGAGAGTGAAATGGTGGCGGCAGAAATCCCACAAAGCTTTAGCGGCTGAAACAATTGCCATCGCTGAAGATCACTCAATCAAGGCATATATTATTGATGAGACAATGCTCATGTACCTCAGGCATTGTGTCAGGGTTACTTACCACTAACTGGTTTGCCTCGCTGCCGAAAGACTCCGCACGACTATGGGGCCACTATCTGACAGCACCACACATCACTTATTGAGGCATATGGACGTACAACAAAGCCACAGCTTTCTACTTGGGGCTTGAGCCGGCTGCGAGTTTACGTTATTGATCCCAGGAACGCGGAGAAAATCTGACCTACCGACACATTTCTGAAAACGACCGAGTCTACTCCTACTGGACCAGAGTACAGTAACCACGTGCACATCTACTCGGATGGCTCGATTACGTCGTCTAGTTTAGCTTGAGCAGAGGTTATACCACCACAAGGGGTAACTCTGTGTTTCATTATTTCACATGCGACGATGTCCAAGACGGCAGAACTCCAGGCTCTGCGTAGTGCGCTGGAACTCATCAATTACGAAGATAGACTAAATAAATCGACTGTTTTCTGGCTTTACACCGGCATTACATTGCCTGCGGTCAGTTCTACGACACGAATTCCACGAACAGTTGACATGTGAAACCATGAAACTTCTCCAACACCTGATACAAAAACGCCACGACATCATTTTTCAGTGGTTACCTGGGCATTGTGGCATCAGCAGAAGTTATTCCGCAGATCATGCTGCTCGCACGTCACAGGAGAAAGCAAACAGCGTTCTGATTTGACTTTCAAAAGCGGGTGCTGCGAGGCAGATTTGTCAAATGGCGCACAGTCTGACACTGACTGAGTGAAACACACAAGGCATACGACATACCACACTACATAAACTTGATTCTTCACTACAATTCCGCCCTCCAACATAGATCAACGTGAAGCTTCGCTTCTTTATTGCGTTTGGCTGGGAGTTGCTTTTATGAAAGTTTATCTCTCGTTATTCAGAATGACTGACAGTGCGACGTGCAGTGTTTGCAGCATCAATGAAAATGTCGAACACGTGCTGTGCCACTGTCCTGAATTCGCCTTACGGAGACAAGTACTTGCCAATGCACTGCGACGACTGGATGGTCGGCCTATTTCTGTGCAGGTGCTCATACAGCACCGTCCACATCCCTAGATAGCCCACAAGGCAGGGAAAGCTTTTTTGTGTTTTTCAAGGACGACGGGTTTGTGTGAACGGCCTTGACTTGTAGTGGAGTTTCACGCGCTGCAGCGAATTTACTGTCTGTCTCTTTCTTTTTTTTCTTTCGTTCTCTTCCTTCTTTCTTCCTTTCCTTGTCCTTTTTCCTTACCACCCAGTGTAGTGTAGCCAACCGGGTGTTTTCAGGTTGACCTCCCTGCACTATTCGTTTTGTTGCTTCCTTCCTTGTTGACAACAAACAGTTGGCTTATCGGCCTTTAGTTCGTCGATCCCTTGAAATCCCCTTTTTCCACAGCTGCAGAAACAAAAAAAAATGAAGCAAGACCCAGAAGATTGAAAAGGCTTCAACTTGAATTGAACGCGAAAGAGCATGAAGTGGAAAAGAAAATGATCGGGTTACCTTAAGGAACAAAAATAGAGCTTAGTAAGTGACTGAACAAACGTCTGCTAAGGATAAGCTAGAGGAATAAAAAAAACGAAATCAGTATACGCTCTCTGCAAACGTAACTGCGCCACGGATGAAAGCACCTCGACTGGCACCAAGCCCAGATTTGACGGGATGCTCTGACGCAATAGCACTGGGGTGCAATTGGGGAACGATGCTTTTATTTTGTGCCAGTGCTTTCTCAGCTTTGTGCTTTTGCTCAGTGACTAGTGGGACGGTAGATAATTGTTACCCACGCAATCAGCCAGCCGCGAATTATGGGTAGCAAATAGCATAGCATAACATGGCCGAGGCATACTTGAAAGTTCCTGCGGCTCCTGCAGGGCAGCTATACTGCGCCACACAGGTGTACCCGCTTTCATCGTTCTGAACCCCCCCCCCCCCCCCAAAAAAAAAAAACATTTGGAACGGAAATGAAATGCCTTGATTTTCAGGTATGTACCTAGCGCCCTTATTCACGTCTCTGCTATGCATTCGCCTATGAGTGACGATTTTGCAAGTAGCACGTCTTCCACCACGCCAAGATAGTGCGCCGCTTTGAGATTTGTCTGCCCTTTTTCAGATTTGCTGCTCGGCAGAAACTCTGAACCACATATGACAATTGGTTCACTTTGCAGTGACATGGCTAGCCCATCACGCACCCTGGCAATATGTTCGGGTCACCTGGTTGAAACAGGCGCTGTATATTGCAGTGCCATAGCCACTTTAAGAAAAACACTTTGTTTATTAGGCTGTCGTGACAGTGTAATCGCG